TTTCGGTCGGCCACTACCCCGACAAGCACGGAAGACGAGCATTTTCACGCGTGTCACTACGCGGAATTGCGGCAAGTTCGGGTACATGGAGTGTGCAACATGTCCAACATGAGCCACCTTCCGCTCTACTCAGATGGTAAGCGTACTACATGTACATAGTGGCTGTAGAAGATGTGGATACGTCTACTGAACTGACGTGGCTATGCCTACTTAATGTGTCTGCAGTGAGTATCTACACTAAAGTGTCTGCGAAGCTCGAGTCATCAAACTCACGACTTGGTGTGCGTGGAGTGGATACATGCAGTTGCTGGGACTATCATTGAGTCGCGGCATAAAATGCGCGCTATTTGAGTGAGGAGGCATGCTTATGTGCTTTGTAAGACGAGGTCAACAACAATGGAGGCGCGAATACGGCCAAATGCATTATGTCTGTCGAGATCGAGCTACATGTACTGCGAATGTGGTGGTATCTGTCATCGCTGTGGCGCACTTTATGTGCCACGATTGCAGCGCTGTCTTGATGATTTTCATGCACGTCGCCACCGCGGATGTGGGCTGGGCACAGGGCCAACTCCTTCACCTCAAGCAGAATCGGCTAGCTCAAGCCCGACCGGCACTGCAAGAGCTGATACGTGACGTTTCGCTATCGGCTGATAGAGGTAGCATTTGGATCTCTCCGTTCTCCGTCGACCATCGGAATCGAGTGATAGCAGAGATTTCGTGTTGCGGACGGGAAGTTTCCGTCGTACCACACGATGCTGGAACGGTATTACACGCACGATCAAAGTGGTGCACACGAGATGAGGAAGGTGACGTTTTGCCTTGTCGTTCCGTATCGTGTCCGTATGACGAAGCGTTTGTGGTAGTGCTGACATTGATTCCATTGTGTTTACAATTTACCCTAGAGAATAGCGTGACTAGACAAGAAAATGGCGGTGTCGTACGCTGGTATCTGAGTATTCTGTACAAGCATGAAGCGGCCAAGCGAAGTGGAATAGCTATGTGCTACGGTGTCCCGCTCTGATTATCACAACGAGGCTACTAATGCCTAAGAATGTGCGGCTCAGAGCGGTGTACCAAAGACTTTGCAAAGTGGAAAGGTGAGCGCGTCTTTGAGTGTCAGTATGTGGCAGGCTGATGGCTAATGCAGTCTGTTGTTTTGCCTTTGTATCATAATAGCGATGACCAATGTCTGATTCTGGCCGTGAGAATGCGAGCTTCACTGTAGCCGGCAGTACAGTACAAGCCGTCGTTAATTACCTTCAGCGTATGGTCGACCGAAATGCTGCGTTAGTCGCGTTATAGTGCCCCATATCTGCTGCCGAATCGGATGAGGAAATGCAGGTTGCCCTTAAGCGATTGAGCTACTTGAAGGGCGGAGACTATTTGGTGGGTTTTTCGTGTACACAGTTTTGTCATACGCTTCTTCAGTTTCCGACATTTACACGTGGCGTCTGTCTGGATGCCCGCTACTATCAAGGCCAACGTGCTGTCGGCAACAGTTGCGAAAGCTACGTCGCATCAAGGGAAGCAATCTGAGCTCGACGTACGATGGTTGAAGGAATAAACTGAAATCGGTACATCAAGCTTGCTGTTCACTTATTGTCAGCGCTACCGTGGCACGTATGTGGCTGGTGGCTCAAACGTCAGCTGAGCTCGTTAAAGTGGATACTTTGGCCCACGGTGCTGCAAGACTTCAGTGCTCTCCACTCGCCATTGTCAATTTCACCGGCTAGTGCCCAAGCCTTCTACACAACTACATCCCAGTGCTGCGGATCTTCCGCGACAAGTCCTGCTAACCCACCCCGCCATCACTTACGTCGCAATTGATCCTCAATACTATTTGGTACGGTTGGCACTTTATTCCCTGCAATTTTTAGTCTCATCAAATGGGGAGCTAGCTAGCATAGCTGATTCGGTACTGCATCCACAGAGATGATGTCTTTGGGCCTCTAAAATCTGGAGGACCTTTTTGTCAAACCTGGTATCTCGCGCAATTTGTCATTCACCAAGGTGCCGCGAATCACACACCCGACTGATTTCCTATCGATGTGCTCCCAGTCTATAGATCGGTAACCCGTTGCGGTTGAAGAATTTCAAGTTGATGTGTGTCTTGCGGACGAGTTGTCCGTGGCGATGGTTGTGTGTGCTGCTGTCCGCGTAGTTAATGCAACAGCGACTGGCGACCATCGATCACTACTAGAGTGGCCTACTACGTCTAGATAGCCTTGACAAATGGACGAGACGTCGCGGATTGCCTAATGGACCCCAGCCTGAAGCGTCTGCAATTGAACTCGGTGGCGAGAATGATGTCACGCAAGCCGCAGGGGCGAGGCAGTAAGGCTCAACAGTTTCTTCTGGAGATGAAGGCTTAGGGAGCCTCGGTGGATGCAGACAGCGTCTTCAAACAACATGATGGTTCCCAATGGAGCTGGGTATCAGGCTTGATCGCAGCCAGCGACGACTAACAACAAGTGGTGGTACTGGTAGCCAAGGCTGGAACCCGACAAGTGACTTCTCCAGCGGAATGGGTGGTCAAGGCTGAACACCGTCGAGCTTTGACCATGACCAGGAGAATGGCTCTCCAGGGATGGCACGATTGCAATCAAGAGCTCAATTTTGGCATCTGCAGCCGTTCTGAGCCGAGCGAGATGACATTAGCGTCTTCAAATATCTTGGCAGTGGCGACCTCCCTGGGCAGGGTATGGTATTTCTTGGTGGGACTTAATACCGAACTTCTACTGGACTACTAAGACAACTAGAACTTCTATGGATTAGCCGAAGATCAACAACTACCTCACTCTCATCATGTATCTGATTAAATTAACTATAATTAAATTAGCCCTCTCTAGAACGGGGCTAGTACTATCTTACTAGCTTTTTTATTATCAGAAAATCGACCGATAAGTGCTTTTGGGCAACGCATTCGAGTATTTTCATAGCTAAATCACGCTATCTTGCTTCAAGTCAGAAGATGAAATTCGTCATGAGTGGTTTTGGCGATAAGTGAAGCTCACCGTGAGTCGCATGGGTGCTAGTAGTCACACGCAGGAACGGTTCGTCGCACAGGACCGAAGCACGGGTCATTTCGTCTGCCCCAACGATTGCTCATTCTGTCTTTTACCAGAAATCCAAGATCCTCCTTTTCTCGTCGTTTGGAAAGCAACCCCTGTATGCCGTGGAGCTCACCGCACACTCAGCGCTTGGAGGTGTCATAGCGTTTTTGCGGCTCTACCAGCGGAAGCTGATGACTTTTCTTCTCGGTTGGTCTGAATTGGCCGCTGCCCAGATTTTAGACCTTGACGCGGATGATTGAGATAGTCGACAATATTACAAGTCTATATTCAACAATACTTTCACATAAGAAGTGCTTCGTTTCATCTCGCTAGTTACTTGAGTACATGTAGTAGTTTTGTAGGCGGTGATACTGTTCTAATAAAGTCGTGGACACCTTGTCTTTGCGTCTCCGACTCTACTTCCTGTCCGGGCTCCGGCTGCTAAAAGTCACTTAACGAGGGACAGCTTTATATTGGTAGGATTCGAGTACTAAAGCAAATCCAATCTTCATACACCTTTGGGTACCGCCATTGGGAACTGTAGTGTCCAAAGCCTATTATCTCTGTCTCGGACAGCATCTATCTACTGACGAACCTTTCCTCCTTACCCTCATCACACACCCCACGCCATACACGTCTGTCTAGTAGACGGTTTCCGGAAGAAGAAAGCGCTTCCCGATCTTGCGGTTGTACTCCAACACTTGGGCACGCACCTTCCGCTTCTCCATGAGTTTGTAGTGAGAGCTAGCGAGAAGCACCGCGTTCGGGTTCTCTGAAATGAGATCCGTAAAGACGCCGTACTTCTCCGTCAGAGCGCGGATCTTCTTCAGATGCTTCTCCTGCAGCTGCAGCCCCAGCGCGTCTGCGTCTTCCAGAGTCGTGAGCGCGCGACGCAGCAAGCGTTTCCTGGCGTAATTGTCCACCAGCAAGCCGAATGTCACCTCGTCCGCCTCCACATCTCCGCTCTCGATCTCCGAACGCACACGCTCCAGCAACTGCTCCGCTTGAGTCGTCCGCTTCGCGCGCACGTACATCTGCATCATACTACGGTACGTGAACTTGTTGGGCCTGAGCTCGAACTTGGAGAACGTCTCGTCCATAAAGACTTCGGCCGAGCGAAGACGCAGTGCATTCGTGTACACGCCCAGCATCGAGTTCAACGTCGTCCGAGACGGCTTGAGACCCTTCTCGAAGGTCATTTCATGGAACCGAACCTCCGCACGCTTGATGTTGAGCGTCTGGAACTGGCCAAAGTCTGTCAAGTCCATCGGCATCAGCTCAAAGTCCAGCGATTCCTCACTGTCAGCAAACAGCTTGTCGTCCTCTTGGCCATAGACTTCCATACTCCGCTCCGTCTTGACCAGTGCCGTCGACTCGGCCTTCTTCACTTTTTCGTGACTGGACTCATCCTGCTGACGCAACGCTTCCACTTGTGCCAATGCCTCTGGACTGAGCTTGTAGCTGTCCCTTTCGTCCATTTCGTCCTCGTCCTCGCCCTCCTCGTCAAAGCGTCCATCGTAGTTGGCATTCTCCAGCGAGAACGTCTCCTTTCCTGGACGTGTCAAGTCGATTTCCTTCCCGTCGTCGTCCCATTCCAGTGGCTCCTGGTAAATGGGTTCAGCTTTGGGCAATGGCTTCTGATTCCGCGGAGCCTTGTCCACAATAGCGCGAAACTGAGCGCGTGCGTACACGTTAAACAGCGTGTTATACACGAACTCGGTCATGGGTACATGATGCCGTTCCATGTGTCGAATGATCTGCTCGGCTTGGATAAAGTCTCCATGCTTGGCACACGCGTGCAGTACCGTCGTGTACGAGTACAGATCGGGCGTGTAGTCGTACAGGTTCCTGCATCTCGTTGTAGAACTCGACAGCCTTGTGTGCGTAATAGTGCGACTTGGCACACGCATTCATTAACGTGTTGTACGTCACGAGCGACGGGGTCAAGCCGCACTCGAGAAGATCTTCGAGCAAGTTCAACGCGCGCTCGACACGTCCTTCGCGTGCACAGCCATGGATCCAACAGGTACACGCCACCTCATCCGGCTCATCCGCAGAGCTTGGGGCGTGATGCAGGTCGTTGGAGTGTTGTCGTGTGCATGGTCCGCGGTAACTTGAGGAATGAGGTCCACAAAGCGCCGAAACAGCCTCAGCGTCCAGGTCTGCGCACTCTTTCTTGCGTGCTCGACGTCTGATAATACAGGACGTCACTAGCACTAACACGATGCAGTTGGCCCACTCCGACCGTGAAGAAGCCGCGAGAGGAAGGAATTCGATTGGCTGTCTGCGGGTCTACAGCGTGAAGAATCAAGTGCCCCAAGCGCATTGTCACCCTCGCACACGCAGTATGCACTTGATTCTTTGGACACTGCCTGGCACGCAACCAACGTCAGGTACTGTACTCCAGGGTTTTTAAAGCACCCACCAACAAGAGCTTCACAGCCAAGTTAACACTGAAGATACCGTAGCAAACAGCAGAATTAAACCAGCGAAAAAAACATAACCCCACAAAACGCCAACGAAAAACCACGTTTAATTCGAATCTCATACAGTCGCTTGCAACAATCAAACGGGAAAGCAAGGAGCAACTCCAGAATCAGACGGCAACAATTGACGAAACCACGGCACCAATCGCGAGCGCCAAGTCATACTTGGACACATCAGACTTCTGCATCAAGCTGCACTCGCACCATACAGCTCGTCAAAGTCGCCTCCACCAGCACATATAGTAGCGATCAGACCCTTCGATGACAGCAAGACACTCCACTTGCCATCGCCTTTCACTCTCTCCTCTCTTCATGAAGAGACTAGCGCCTCAGAATACGTAAAAGTAGCCACGAGATCAAATGCAACGCGAGATCCAGTGCTCAAACACGTCCACGCACCACGGCTCCACGTAAAAAATATCACAGGCTCCTTGCGTACTGATCCCCGCACATCAACACGGTAGCTGTTGCAGGGCCTGCATTATACAATGTAACGTTATATATGGCTGTTCGCCACTCCGGCAGTGCGCATACTGGCGGCATCGTCTCCCGACTTCATGCAGACGCACGCACACTGCGTTACCGTGGCGTGGATGCTGTCTTCAACGCCATCAAACATATCGTAAGTGTTTTTTCTTTTCTTTTTGGCGTAAAGCTAATGCATCGTACTTAATAGCGATAAAAAGTAAAAACTGTAGCCATCGTAGTTAAAAGTCACTTCAACTGTGACTTTCTAGAGACCAAAAGAGATCGGCCATTTCTTCCTCACTACTTTAGTGAAGAAATGGCCAAAATCTTTCACCCCGTGCCACTGGAGCTCCATGCGCTCAACGAGCGCGAGCCACCCGCTTCGTAAGCAGCCAGAAGGTCGGGCTCAGCATGGATTGACACTCGGTTGCCCAGTCCGGGTACCCGGCCGGATTGTCGCGCCACGCAACCATCTTAATAAAGAGAAAAACTCAGTGTCTCTCATTAGCACTATCACATTAAAGAGATCGTTTAACCGTTGAAACAACGGGTTCAAACGCGCGAAATTGCTATCAAACATTTATATTCAGCTACTATCTCCGACAGGTATCACTTTTAGAGTGTTAAATTGATGGGTAGGCCAGCAAATAATTCACAAACCCAGCCTCTCCGGACCCAGCCCATCCCAATGACTGGCAGCGAGCTCCAGCTCTGCCGCCTTTCGAAATGCAGCTTCAGTTGCCATTTTTTCCTGCTACTACTCAAGAAAGCTCAATGCATCCTCTTCCCTGCCGCTGGTCACGCTACCATACGGCGGTGGGTCCATCTCATACCCACGTTATCAGAATTTTAGCGACCGCTTTCTACACAGCACCAGGTAAATTGCACGTAATGAACGTGTAGCTCTATTGATTACAGGCCTGACCTTGCTCCTTTCGTCTGTATCTGTTGCTCTACATCGGCAGTGAGAGCGTAGACCACGACATACGCGCCCATTATCTTTGCTCGCTACAGCAGAAGAAGGACGAGGCTGCACTTTTTACGAATGACCAACGTTATCAGACGTACCGGCAGGAGTGCACATGCTGTGCCCCGTCGTCCTGGCTGGACGCGCCGACATGTCCGCTGCCGTCTTCAGCGAATCACGGTACATGTACGTACGAGTGATACGGTACGACGGATGTTGTGACTAAGTTTGTGTACAACCAACACAAATCTGCTCATATTGCTTGCTACTTTCGATGATCGTATGCTCGGTGACCTTAAGTTGAAGTGGCCTCTCAGCGGACATCCCACCACAAATGGCAATCCATCGACAAATCCGCTTTTAGTGTGTGGAAGCGTCACGCTACAGACGACGGAGCGGCGACATGTACGCTCGCCGCTGGGCCTACCTGTCGATTTGCCTACCGCGACAGCGACTACACCTGCTAAAGTGCCAAGCTACGCGAGCTAAGCGAGCTTGCAGATGCAAGTTGCATCATGCCGATAGGTGCTGGCGCTTACTAACGCTCAACTGCAACGGCAATTGGCCCCGGATGCACTGAAGCCTATGAAGTCAGTGAAAACGCGTCATGCCCGCTGCCTGCTGCAGCGGCCACATCCGCGTACATGCCCACTTTGTGGACGCGAAGGCCAATACAGCAACTTCGTGTTCAAGTGTGTTACCGCATCCGAGCTCAACCAAGCAAACGGCAACTGCGTTTCGGTCACCACATACCCGGCGGCTTAACGTCCTCAACGTCAGTAAGTGTCTGGCTGATAAAAATACAAGGATGGGTGCAGCAAAAATGTCTAATGGCGACAATTGCACCATATCGTCCGGAAATGTATTAGCATTCTAAAGCATATTTGTGCAGCACAAGGTCACTATCAAACCAAATACCCACATTTAGGCCAGTACGGCCACCAGGCTCATGGTGAGAAGGTGTTCTGTGGACATGTTGTACGCAGTCCCGGCGTTTTCGGTCGGCCACTACTCTCGACAAGCACGGAAGACGAGCATTTTCACCCGTGTCACTACGCGGAATTGCGGCAAGTTCGGGTACATGGAGTGTGCAACATGTCCAACATGAGCAACTTCCGCTCTACTCAGATGGTAAGCGTACTACATGTACATAGTGGCTGTAGAAGATGTGGATACGTCTACTGAACTGACGTGGCTATGCCTACTTAATGTGTCTGCAGTGAGTATCTACACTAAAGTGTCTGCGAAGCTCGAGTCATCAAACTCACGACTTGGTGTGCGTGGAGTGGATACATGCAGTTGCTGGGACTATCATTGAGTCGCGGCATAAAATGCGCGCTATTTGAGTGAGGAGGCATGCTTATGTGCTTTGTAAGACGAGGTCAACAACAATGGAGGCGCGAATACGGCCAAATGCATTATGTCTGTCGAGATCGAGCTACATGTACTGCGAATGTGGTGGTATCTGTCATCGCTGTGGCGCACTTTATGTGCCACGATTGCAGCGCTGTCTTGATGATTTTCATGCACGTCGCCACCGCGGATGTGGGCTGGGCACAGGGCCAACTCCTTCACCTCAAGCAGAATCGGCTAGCTCAAGCCCGACCGGCACTGCAAGAGCTGATACGTGACGTTTCGCTATCGGCTGATAGAGGTAGCATTTGGATCTCTCCGTTCTCCGTCGACCATCGGAATCGAGTGATAGCAGAGATTTCGTGTTGCGGACGGGAAGTTTCCGTCGTACCACACGATGCTGGAACGGTATTACACGCACGATCAAAGTGGTGCACACGAGATGAGGAAGGTGACGTTTTGCCTTGTCGTTCCGTATCGTGTCCGTATGACGAAGCGTTTGTGGTAGTGCTGACATTGATTCCATTGTATTTACAATTTACCCTAGAGAATAGCGTGACTAGACAAGAAAATGGCGGTGTCGTACGCTGGTATCTGAGTATTCTGTACAAGCATGAAGCGGCCAAGCGAAGTGGAATTGCTATGTGCTGCGGTGTCCTGCTCTGATTATCACAACGAGGCTACTAATGCCTAAGAATGTGCGGCTCAGAGCGGTGTACCAAAGACTTTGCAAAGTGGAAAGGTGAGCGCGTCTTTGAGTGTCAGTATGTGGCAGGCTGATGGCTAATGCAGTCGTGTTGTTTTGCCTTTGTATCATAATAGCGATGACCAATGTCTGATTCTGGCCGTGAGAATGCGAGCTTCACTGTAGCCGGCAGTACAGTACAAGCCGTCGTTAATTACCTTCAGCGTATGGTCGACCGAAATGCTGCGTTAGTCGCGTTATAGTGCCCCATATCTGCTGCCGAATCGGTTGAGGAAATGCAGGTTGCCCTTAAGCGATTGAGCTACTTGAAGGGCGGAGACTATTTGGTGGGTTTTTCGTGTACACAGTTTTGTCATACGCTTCTTCAGTTTCCGACATTTACACGTGGCGTCTGCCTGGATGCCCGCTACTATCAAGGCCAACGTGCTGTCGGCAACAGTTGCGAAAGCTACGTCGCATCAAGGGAAGCAATCTGAGCTCGACGTACGATGGTTGAAGGAATAAACTGAAATCGGTACATCAAGCTTGCTGTTCACTTATTGTCAGCGCTACCGTGGCACGTATGTGGCTGGCGGCTCAAACGTCAGCTGAGCTCGTTAAAGTGGATACTTTGGCCCACGGTGTTGCAAGACTTCAGTGCTCTCCACTCGCCATTGTCAATTTCACCGGCTAGTGTCCAAGCCTTCTACACAACTACATCCCAGTGCTGCGGATCTTCCGCGACAAGTCCTGCTAACCCACCCCGCCATCACTTACGTCGCAATTGATCCTCAATACTATTTGGTACGGTTGGCACTTTATTCCCTGCAACTTTTAGTCTCATCAAATGAAGAGCTAGCTAGCATAGCTGATTCGGTACTGCATCCACAGAGATGATGTCCTATTGGGCCTCTAAAAATCTGGAGGACCTTTTTGTCAAACCTGGTATCTCGCGCAATTTGTCATTCGCCAAGGTGCCGCGAACCACACACCCGACTGATTTCCTATTGATGTGCTCCCAGTCTATAGATCGGTAACCCGTTGCGGTTGAAGAATTTCAAGTTGATGTGTGTCTTGCGGACGAGTTGTCCGTGGCGATGGTTGTGTGTGCTGCTGTCCGCGTAGTTAATGCAACAGCGACTGGCGACCATCGATCACTACTAGAGTGGCCTACTACGTCTAGATAGCCTTGACAAATGGACGAGACGTCGCGGATTGCCTAATGGACCCCAGCCTGAAGCGTCTGCAATTGAACTCGGTGGCGAGAATGATGTCACGCAAGCCGCAGGGGCGAGGCAGTAAGGCTCAACAGTTTCTTCTGGAGATGAAGGCTTAGGGAGCCTCGGTGGATGCAGACAGCGTCTTCAAACAACATGATGGTTCCCAATGGAGCTGGGTATCAGGCTTGATCGCAGCCAGCGACGACTAACAACAAGTGGTGGTACTGGTAGCCAAGGCTGGAACCCGACAAGTGACCTCTCCAGCGGAATGGGTGGTCAAGGCTGGACACCGTCGAGCTTTGACCATGACCAGGAGAATGGCTCTCCAGGGATGGCACGATTGCAATCGAGAGCTCAATTTTGGCATCTGCAGCCGTTCTGAGCCGAGCGAGATGACATTAGCGTCTTCAAATATCTTGGCAGTGGCGACCTCCCTGGGCAGGGTATGATATTTCTTGGTGGGACTTAATACCGAACTTCTACTGGACTACTAAGACAACTAGAACTTCTATGGATTAGCCGAAGATCAACAACTACTATTACTGTATCTGATTAAATTAACTATAATTAAATTAGCCCTTGACCAACTAGTACTATCTTACTAGCTGATTATTATCTGAAAATCGACCGATTTGTGCTTTTGGCCAACGCGTTCGAAGACGAAATGTGTCATGAGTGTTTTTGACGATAAGTGAAGCTCACCGTGAGTCAGTGACTCAGAGTCACACCGGTGCTAGTAGTCACACGCAGGAACGGTTCGTCGCACAGGACCGCTTCGTTAGCAAGCACGGGTCATTTTCGTCTGCCCCAACGATTGCTCATTCTGTCTTTTACCAGGAATCCAAGATCCTCATCTTCTTGTCGTGTGGAGAGAGACCCCTGTATGCCGTGGAGCTCACCGCACACTCAGCACTTGGAGGTGTCATCGAGTTTTTGCGGCTCTACCAGTGGAAGCTGATGACTTTTCTTCTCGGTTGGTCTGAATTGGCCGCTTCCCAGATTTTAGACTAGTCGACAATATTACAAGTCTTTATAAACAATACTTTCACAAAAGAAGTGCTTCGTTTCGTCTCGCTAGTTACTTGAGTACATGTAGTAGTTTTGTAGGCGGTGATACTGTTCTAATAAAGTCGTGGACACCTTGTCCTTGCGTCTCCGACTCTACTTCCTGTCCGGGCTCCGGCTGCTAAACGTCACTTGACGAGGGACAGCTTTATATTGGTAGGACTCGAGTTCTAAAGCAATACAATCTTCATACACCTTTGGGTACCGCCATTGGGAACTGTAGTGTCCAAAGCCTATTATCTCTGTCTCGGACAGCATCTATCTACTGACGAACCTTTCCTCCTTACCCCCCATCACACACCCCACGCCATACACGTCTGTCTAGTAGACGGTTTCCGGAAGAAGAAAGCGCTTCCCGATCTTGCGGTTGTACTCCAACACTTGGGCACGCACCTTCCGCTTCTCCATGAGTTTGTAGCGAGAGCTAGCGAGAAGCACCGCGTTCGGGTTCTCCGAAATGAGATCCGTAAAGACGCCGTACTTCTCCGTCAGAGCGCGGATCTTCTTCAGATGCTTCTCCTGCAGCTGCAGCCCCAGCGCGTCTGCGTCTTCCAGAGTCGTGAGCGCGCGACGCAGCAAGCGTTTTCCTGGCGTAATTGTCCACCAGCAAGCCGAATGTCACCTCGTCCGCCTCCACATCTCCGCTCTCGATCTCTGAGCGCACACGCTCCAGCAACTGCTCCGCTTGGGTCGTCCGCTTCGCACGCACGTACATCTGCATCATACTACGGTACGTGAACTTGTTGGGCCTGAGCTCGAACTGGGAGAACGTCTCGTCCATGAAGACTTCGGCCGAGCGAAGACGCAGTGCATTCGTGTACACGCCCAGCATCGAGTTCAACGTCGTCCGAGACGGCTTGAGACCCTTCTCGAAGGTCATTTCATGGACCCGAACCTCCGCACGCTTGATGTTGAGCGTCTGGAACTGGCCAAAGTCTGTCAAGTCCATCGGCGTCAGCTCAAAGTCCAGCGATTCCTCACTGTCAGCAAACAGCTTGTCGTCCTCTTGGCCATAGACTTCCATACTCCGCTCCGTCTTGACCAGTGCCGTCGACTCGGCCTTCTTCACTTCTTCGTGACTGGACTCATCCTGCTGACGCAACGCTTCCACTTGTGCCAAGGCCTCTGGACTGAGCTTGTAGCTGTCCCTTTCGTCCACTTCGTCCTCGTCCTCGCCCTCCTCGTCAAAGCGTCCATCGTAGTTGGCATTCTCCAGCGAGAACGTCTCCTTTCCTGGACGTGTCAAGTCGATTTCCTTCCCGTCGTCGTCCCATTCCAGTGGCTCCTGGTAAATGGGTTCAGCTTTGGGCAATGGCTTCTGATTCCGCGGAGCCTTGTCCACAATAGCGCGAAACTGAGCGCATGCGTACACAGCGTGTTCTTGTGATTTTGACAACTCTCAATGGCAGCCATGTAAAGCTGTTTGGGCTGCAGGAACACTAAAAAAAGACAATATTTGTAAGGGACTGAAGAATGTGGACGTGCTTGTCGATTATTTCTAGGCTACATCGCTGTGTGGAAAAAAAAAGATAGAAGGGTATTGTCTCGATACGCGGTGAAAGCAATTGTCGAGTTCTACAACGAGATGCAGGAGCTGTACGATTACACGCCCGATCTGTACTCGTACACGACGGTACTGCACGCGTGTGCCAAGCATGGAGACTTTATCCAAGCCGAGCAGATCATTCGACACATGGAACGGCATCATGTACCCATGACCGAGTTCGTGTATAAGGCCACAGTCTCAACATCGCACACAATCTGAGACGGTGGACCAGTCTCTGCTTTATTGCACAACACACCTGTACATGCTGCCACGGCATCATGAATTATGAAACTATACATTTTGCAGTGGGATGAGTTGGTATCATGGGTCGCGTCAATCAACAACGCTTCTGATAAGTGATCGGGTATGAACCGCATGTGCACAGACTGGATGGCTATACATTGGGCGCCTTCCAAAACCCACATAAAAGTTTTGATCACCCCCCCCCCCGTTTTTACGCAAGTTTAATTCTGCGGATAGGTTTTGTTTTCGTCAAGTAAACAGAAACTCGACCTCCAAAACCACTTTCAAAAGTTTAATGCGTTCAATATGAAACGCACCTATGGTGCGCATAGCTTATATTTATATATACTTCAATACGTGGGACATGCAGTAACTGGACAATTTTCTAAATATTGTGTCTAGATGTAAAGATGTGAAGGCGCGAAAGATCGCGTGACTTCAGTGACGTTCATCTGAGACTCTACCGAAGCCCCATTTCATCGAGCGAGCGGAGAGATCATGGCGGGGGACGCTGGGTGGTTGCTGCTGGTGGCAGCTGTAAGCACGAGAATACGTCTGTCACGGGCGATTCGTGATCTCCGTCGGCGCCTCCATCTGGAGTACCTGCGTGCTGAGCGCCAAAGACTTCTTAGGGTCCGTCACTATTTGACGGTCGGGTGTCTAATGATACCTATTTGGTCGTCTTGGATGAACTTGTGGCTGCATGGAAATGACCTGAATATGATAAACATGACAAGTCTTAGTCGGTACGTCTGATTCCAGAAGAAACGATCTCTTGCGCTAATCGCTATCACTCCGTTGTTTTTTGTTGTTGTGCTTAACTATTCGCCACAGACAATCTTTCAAGTTCTTATTGGACAGGTTTTCCTTGTTCTACATTATCCCGAAACACTACCCAAAGGGGGGGCGTCCACGGAAATTGCAGGAGCTCCATCAAGTCCTTGGCTTGCTGCTTGCGTTTTACGTGGGGTCCATGCAGAATAATGCTTTCTGTATGATTTTTGGGGTTCCTCCCTCAATGCTTAGTCGTATTATCAAGGATGGTGAGAGAGCGCTGGCTCGGGCTCTCGTCGGATTCTCGCCAGCTCGTATATCGTGGCCTTCTCTTGCTCGTCAAAGAGCATGTGCCGAGATGGTGGCTCAGCGCCAACCTTTGCTGCAGTATTGTTGGGGCTTCATCGATGGCAAGAATTTCCGTGTGGGTATCTAAATACTCGAATGTTTAAGTTAAGTCTGTTAATACTTTATCTCTGCGCTGTCATATTCTAGGTTTTGCAGCCGTCCAACCCTGACGTTCAAAACGCGCACTACAACGGGTGGCTACACGGGGTCTTCGTGACAGGGACGCTCTGCTTTTCCGCGGACGGGCTCATTGTATGGGCGAAAACAACAACCCGGGGAGCTGGAACGACGGCGATATGAGCCTCGCGTTTCAGGAGTGCCTTGCTGACCCCCACTTCTGTCCCGACCCCCGCTATGGAGTCGTAGCGGACAGTGCTTTCCCTTGTGGAGGAAGAATGACAGGGAAAATCATTACTTCCTTAAAGGAAGGGGATCTCCAGAAGCTGCTACCATCCGTTCGTCCTGTCGCGAGAAAGTTGTCACGCGCTATAACGTTTGTACGGCAGGCGGTGGAGTGGGGTATGGGCTCCGTCGCCAAAGTGTACCATCGACTGTATTTACCTCTTCCTTCTGGAAAGGTAGAGCGCGCCGTTCGTCTAGACAATTTGTTCAATTTATCTAACTTCAGAGTTCGCACCGTCGGTATCAGTCAGATTCGTACTACACATGTCCACGGTCGAGAAGATTATCAATAACGTGTGTGAACATGCATTGCTCGTTCGCTCATTGTACGTCACAATATTTTGCACTATGCAGCTCAACACTAATGATATCATGGCCGAATGACTTCATGATAGTAGTTGTACCACTGCGTATACTTACTTGTTGGTAAGCTTTGCGAGCATCATCATCATTTCGGAATGTCGCTCTCGGGCCTCAGAGCGTTCGAGCTCCATTCGCGCCTCGAATTGGCGACGGTTTTACTCCTTCTCGGCCTTCCACTTCTCTTCTCGTGCAAGTCGATCTGCTCTCTCTTCTCGAAGGCGATCACTCTCATCCTGCCTCGCGCGCTCTCTTTCTTCCTTTTCCCTCTTTTCGACAGCGTCTCTTTGAGCTTTCTCTTCATGGCGCCGTAGCTCCGCTGTTTCGGCTTTTCGGTCGCTCTCTGCACGGTAAAATATCAAAAGGCGCGTCATGTCGTTGGTATCGGATCCGTGTGCCTCCTTTAACCCGGTAATCTGATTTCCAAGGATTTCGATACGCTTCGCGGTCTTTGTGCGTTTCGCTTGAGTGAAGGTCTCGAATCTTAACTCGTTCACTCTGTTAGAGCGCTTACTCAGCTCTTCGATGTTGTCTCTCACAACGGTAAGATCTTGGCCTCCGAGTCGATTGCTGACACTGGAGAGACGGGGGTTGCGAGCTTTCTCGCGAGCGTTGGCTACAGCACGCCCTGGGTCACGAAACAACACTGCTCCGTCCGGAGAAGTCATAGGTGGCGTGGTAGGCGTCGGCTTCGGCGGACGACCCGCACTTCTCTGTGGGACTTCTTCAGTGACCCCTTGAGGCCGAAATGTGGTGTTTGCGTCGGGATTCGGTGACAACTCTCCATAGCTAGTTCGACAGTATTGATCAACACCAGTAGCCGGGTTGTCTATACTCGTTTGAAAGTCACCGACGTTATCGCCATCCACATCGTTGGCGCAAAGTTCTTCTTCTCTCTCTTCTTCGTCCTCGTCCGAATTGGAGAGGTTGAGAGCCGCAGCAAGGGAAGCATCAAACGTTCCGGAACTAGTTATAGCAATGCCAGAGCACTGTGCTTCCGGAATCGGAGACTGAGATTGTTGGGAACATTGGGCAAGCTGCGAGACAACATTCTTCTCTTTACTGGCTGGAGAGCTGCTGACAGGATCGCGTTCTTGCGAGACAGACGTGTGTCCCTCGCGGCACCCGTTAGCTACAGGCAAGTAGGGCAATAGGGCCCCGCCGCTAGACGCAGGTCGATTGATCTGGCTTTGATTCTCTTTCTCCTCGTCTTCTTCAGTCTCGACGCCGTCGAAGGATGTATGCGTCCCGGCTTTTTCTTCGATGGTCATCTGAATATTTTTGGCCTACATTATTGCCTTGTGCGCAGGTTTCACCTCTCCGTTGCCCGATGGTTTTGGCTTGTTATACAGATTTTTGAATTTTCGGCGTAGAGAATCCAAGTCTCTCTCAAGTGAACTCCTGCCTCGGCGGGAGTTATACCGGATCGTCAGACGCTCCCACTCGTTCCTTCCGGTAGGAACAATCTTTTCTGCAATTGCACACAGTAAAAGCTGCTCTCGGACGGAGTAATTCGCGTAGCCAGTTCTTCGACATCTCTGGTCGAAAACACGATATCAGTAGTGATCAGACTCACAGCGATGGGAACTGTTTTTGCATACCGTCATAATCCGTGAGTTGTTGCTTCGGCTCTTGATAGAAGATCGGGGAATGAAGAGCAAATCCTTCGAGCCGCATAATTTAACCTCGCAAGAAAAAGACACGAAGATTTAACCTCGAGAAGTCAAACGTTCGAAAAAAAGTGGGCCGTATTCACGTACGAATCTTTTCAACATTTACACTTTGTCTCCAAGTTCGAGTACCTCATGGCATGCGCAGCTGACTACAGATCGTGCAGGTGCTGGATATCTCTGTGCTGGCATCCGTCCCATCCGCAACGCCAAATAAACCACAACGCGTTCCCATACGCTACCGTGATTTCATCTCCTGGGAACACATCTCTGACGGTGGCGACCGCCAATGTCAAATGTCGACCCGTTTGAGCCTCGTGGAAGCGAGCACAGGGATTACAGGCGCGATTGGCCAGCCTGAAGAGACCACCCGCCTCTCTGGCGTCAATATCGTAACGCTGTCCAGATTGAGCAGGTGTCTTCAGATGAAGCATGTAGCCGTTGTTTCAGTACCCATTTGCACACGGAGGTCCAAAAACCTCGATCTTGCCAAAATATTCCCCAATAATTGTGTCCTTTGGGATAGCGCGAGTAGCAACAAGACCGAGACCACCTCGGAAAGAGCTTTTGCAAATGGCAATGCGCTTACTTTCTCTTAAGGCATTTCCACACATACCCGCGTAAGAGCAATTTCCACGGTAGCAAAAGCGATTGTACTTCGCATTTTGGCACGTCGAAACATTGCAAAGCTCCCGGCAGTGACACATCCCACCTGCTGACACTGAGGCATATTTGAAGTAGGCTGGTGTGATGTGGCCGTGGAGACGCTCCACATGTTCAGGCCAAGTTGCTGGTTCCCAACGTTTTGGCCCTTTCGAATGACCTTTCGTCTCAATGACCTCAAACCCCGGCGAGCTACATGTCGAAGAAAGAGTCGGATCCGAGTCATGCCCTGAGTGGTGCCTCGTGGACCCCGGCACCACGTCGAGCGCCGAAGAAGCTTGCGAGATAGAGAAGTCGGCGTCGGCGCTTTGGTCGAGCCTTCCGTTCTTCTTTGCTTTACGCGTCGGTTGAAGACGTAGTCCGGAAGGAGACGACGATGGCTGGCCTACGGAGGACTCCTCCGAGTCAGACCCGTGGAGCCTCAGGTCTAGTGTAGAAGCCACGGAAGAGGTGTCCGACCATGCCGACACGACGTCAGAAAGAGATGTGATAGCTCGATCCATCGGCACTATACGAGACGACCCAGACACGGCGTCAGGAGCATACTGGATAGAGTCTCCATCGGAAGTATCGGGCAACGAAAACATCGTCGTCTGCATCGTACCCGTGGCGAACACACCCGGAACGTCCAGATCGTGCGGGCTCACGATGGGGTCGTTCCTCTTCGAAGGAGATGGTCTTGACCGCTTGGCGAGGTTCCTAAGTCCGCCAATACTGCCGGCGTCTCCAGGGGCGCGCTTACGTTTTCCACTTGCGCGTGTCATCACGAAGCTGGCGCCTGCATCGACGGCATGTAAGAACAAGATCCAGCAAAAGATTGTACCATAGTAATTTGAACGTGCACGCACAAAATCGATATAACGGAGAGCAAACTTCGAGCTCTCTCTCCTCCCGCCTTCCAGGCAGATTCGAATATGAGAGGTAGTTTAGGCGCGGTTTTTGAGGTTCGACCCGCGCGCGCGAAAATGTCATGACGCTTGAAGATCCAATTTAAACGGGGGGGGGGGTTGCAGCTTCAGGGGATATTGAAGCCCAGCAATACAGCTTAACATACACTTTGGGATGGGTTGCCGCTTGACCGCACACACTTAACGTCGAGTTTTTCTCGAAAACCATGAATAAACCGAATTGTTTGATCTGACCATTTTTTGGTCAACCAAACAATTTCGGTTTAATCCGCCGTTTAATTCAACGTTTGATCTGACCTACCCTACGGATAAAAACCTGTTTTATGTTGGTTTTGGAATGCGCCCATTGGGTGCCCTCCAAAGCCTGTATAAAACGGTTTTATCACAAAGTTTTGATGACCCCTTTAATCACACTTTAATCACGGTGATGCGTTTTTATACCGGTTTTATCAGAACCGTTCTGCCCAAAGCCTACATTAAAGTTTATTCCGCTCCGAATAGAGTGAGGTTGAAGTATCTAACATATTGATTTCATTATCAACGGACGATCTTTACTTATTTAAATGGGACAAAAAACTGATAAATTTGTCTATTTTTTAAGATACCTTCACGATGGCGCGCTGCCAGCGACCCCTTCCCTGCAACTCACGGCTTTCTCTCGCCAGATTCAAACGAGAGAGGGGCCCATGCGCGGCGCCGGCGCGCTTCTCGCGCTATGCGCGACGTCGCAAACGCGACACAATCTCAAAAAGTGTGTTAAACGGCTTCGTATACGGCTGCATAAAGAGAGGAGGCGTGTAGAGTGGGAACGGTTGCTGCGCATGCGGCAATACGTGACCCTCGACTGTCTAAAACACCATGAAGAGTCGAATTGGATGGATCTTTGGCGTCGGGGCACCGAGAAGAATATGCTTAACAAACTAGCCTATCAAGGTAGTAACTTACGACGATGTTTGTATGTGCCAGAGCAATGATTTTTGTTAACATGGTGTTTTTATTTATTTATGTGTGCCAGGGGCGCATTTGAGCAGCTCTTGGAGCGATTCTCCCAATTCTACATCATTCCAGTATACAATCCAGCTGCCCACTATTGTGGAAGAAAGCGGATGTGTTGGATGTCACGGTGTTGGGAGCCTGAACATCCACACCTGCATATGAACCACAGCCTGTCTCCATACCAAACGGTAACTTCCTCGACAGGATATACATCCCGTACCGCTACTGCAATGACGGTCACGTGACGACTAGTCTGCACCTCGTGAAATAGGGCACCCGGGCGACATGAAAAAATAAATGAACTGCAGTATACCGCCCGCGGCGTATTCTCTCGGCGACACTAACGATACGTGTCGAGCGTCGTTGTTCTTGTGCTCACCTTAAACGAAAACAATGCGCGAGAAAGGGCTTCTCTTCTCAATCATAGTAACATTGACGGATAAGCCAGGGTCTTCTCGCTCTCCGGACCCCAGCAACTCACCGCCCTCGTGTTGATCAGCAGGGTGCGCCTCTGCCTTCTCGTCTCGGAGTTTGCTGCCAGGACAGGACTCTTTATCACCACATCTAGTGATCTCGATCGGCCTGAAGACCAAATATTACGGAAAAAGAATGTATCAGTATGAGATAGCTAAAAGAAACGCACAACAATACGCACTCACCGGCCTGTAGTGAAGCCTAGCATAGTCGTCACAGCTGAGATGAACTGCTTCATAATACACTCAGGAGCTACGTCAACAACGAAGCACTCAAGGTTAGCACATATGATAGATGATCCAGATCTACGATGGTACGTACCGCAACCATGCAACGCCGACGTCTCGACGAGCCTTATGCGGCAGGCAGCAAATTTGTAAATGAAACGATCCTTAGTGGGCGCGAATTTTCGCGCCTTTGAAGCTGTCGAAGATCTCATCTTCAATTTCAAAAATTTTGCTAGTTAGGGGAGTCACTTAATCATATACAATACGCAAGTCACATTTTATCAGTTGCTAAATTAGGGTGCGTGATTAAAGAGGATAAAAGGTGATTAAACGCGAAGTTTGATGAGACGACTTTTTGGTCCTATCAAATTTTTCCGTTTTATCACTAAGTTTTTATCACCTTTTAATCCACCCTAACCCCAATGATTTAACTTTTTATACAGGTTTTGGAAGGCACCCATTGGGCGTCGCTTTTGTCTCATTACAAATCCGTCAAGGTCAGTGCAGGTAAAACCGAGTTAAAAGACGTAGTACGTACCACTTCCTTTACGTAGATCCTTGCAACATTCCCACTCTGCGAAGCATAGTCGTATAGGATGGATTGAACACGCTCCTCAATCGCTGGAAAGCTTGCTGAAGTCAAGCTACCAGGGTGTGTACATCCTTTATTGAAGATTTCACGGTACTTCTTTCTGTTTGTAATTCAAGAATACGCTTTCGACTTACACCAGCTTTGCGAATCGCAGTAGATATCACCTCGCTCTCAGGGACATTGCGTGCTTCGTGGTAGGTCTGATAGATCGCTTGGCTGATGTCGTGGCTGTGCCCTGTTTTCGGTCCGGTGACGCATACCCCCCAATTGCCAGTTTCTCGTACACATGCGTTAATCTAGTCACAACAACAAAAATCTGTGACAGTTATATCTCACTTGGAAGACTATACATACCTGAGCAGGACACTCAATTTTCCTTAAATGTTGATTTGGTCGCAAACCTTGACCTCTGTTAGACCATGCCTTTCCAGAATGTGCACACATGTAGGCCTTGTTGTAGAAATGTACTTCTTCTGGCCAAATAATGCATGATGTTTTGCTCTTGCTGATTCTTTGGTTTCTTTGCGGACGGGTGTATTTGTTCGAATAGAAAATATCTATCACGCCACATAATACAAAATCAGCACCAATAGACACGATTACAATGATAATCATCGTAAAGTTTTGATACAGTCTCAGACTGTGCCACAACTTGAGATTGGCACACAAACCTGGTATGATTGGCGACCGTAGCTCCGTAAGTACGCCTCCAGTGTCTTCCAGTCGTCGATCATTTTCACGTCAATCTTCGAAACGTGCACCAAATCATCCCGAGTGACGATAGCACAATCTCCAGAGCCACGCTTCGAAACAGTAGCGTTGTTTGAACGGCGTTCCTACAACACAGCTACAACGTCACGACAGCTCTTGCTGCAACACAATGGGCTTGTAGCACCACAACGAGTGCCACAAGAAGCAACGCTAGAAGTGTCGATCGTAATCTATTCGCGATATATTTCAGAAACCATGAAACTTACGATTCCACTTTGACAGAATTTGTAACAGGTGAAGGCACATTCTGCGACGATTCAATCGAAACAAAGAGACTTGAGATATAAATGAATCAGAAAAACACAGATGCAGGCGTTTGTACCAGCACCGCTAGTGAAGATCTAACGCCCCTAGCGCCCCAATCCCTTCATGCCACACGTCATAGCTACTCTCGAGCTCACAATTCGAGGTTGTGCAAAGGGCTATTACGCTCTAAACTCCGGCAAATTCAACACATGGAAGAGAAGTTGTAGATGTTGACTCAACACTCGGAGAAGCTAATACAAGCTCGGGATGAGCTCGCCTCAATGCTAGCCGAAGAGAAAGGTGATGCAACACGCCTAGCAGGTGCGGTTGGGGTCGTCACTTTGGACAGAGGCTACGTGATGTCATACAGTTTAATGCTGGAGGAGTGCTGCAATATAATGCTTGATAGGCACTAGTGAGTCAGAGTTAAAATTGAAGCACGTTAATCTATTCGTTGTGATGCAAAACCAAACAGCTTTATTTTATTTCATTAGTGCTGCAAGCAGAGCTTTATCCGTAGCATTCACTATTCGATCGAGTTTGTTGGATCGAGTTGTCACTTCAGGCTGCGAAAGAATTATCCAAAGTATTCTGAGTCTCATGGCAGCAACATCATTACGTGTGACAACAGCTCTGGAAAAGCTGAAGCTATCTCCCAGCATCGCATACGCCTGAGCAATGCACAACACACCACACGACGTTCCGTCTGGTTGTTTTGGAGCGTCAAGCCATACTGCGTTTGATTCTAGCGGTGACTCGGTGAGCCGCACAGAGGAATTATGCCAGTTTCGCAGAAACGGTGCCACGTCACTTCGTAAGTATCTTCCATCGCCGCCCGATACGAGCCGTTGCACAAAGGCTCATAGCAGTAGGGGGTGAAGGTGGGTGGATCCTGACGATAGTTTATGCGCACCATGATTATTCCCCAGTGGTCGTTGTTCAAGTGAACGGGCATAACAGCGTAATGGTACATCGAAATGCGCCCTACTGGAGTTATTGAGCAACCCATCGTCGGAGCGTAGGAGTCAATAGGAAAACATTCACCAACTGAGTTGCAGATACAGCGGAGGCTGAAATCGATAATAACATCACTCAGCATCCGTTCTCTTGCCAACATGCCGACCAAATGGTCCACCTTGACAGTGGCCTCGCCACCCGACAACCGAAACATTGACCCAAGACATGCTTTGCCAAGAATTCTCGCGACATCTTCTGCAAATTCTATGTGTTTTTCACCAGACTCACTAGATAGCATCCAGTCCGTGTCCGTCTCTTCATCAAACAGTTCTGGGGTTGACAGGTTTTTTTCCCACTTTGTCGAGAGAGCCCAGTCCATAGCTACCAGCCAAGCTTCGCACTTCCGACGGATCTCGTAGAACGCCTTCATGCGGTAGACAGCGCCACTGCTTCACATTATAATTTGCATCATGTATCCAATACAAGCAACATGACAAGCAACATAGTAAGCAACACAATGAGCAACACAGCAGTACACACAACAAACCTGGTGAGCTTTGGAGTGCCTCCAGGAAAGAACGCGATGATCTCGTTCGTGGTACCTTCGGGGTGATCCGATTCCGAATCGTTACCGAAATAGCTGGATTTCTTTCGTTTCCTCTTCTCCGCTTCGACTACTGCGTCCTGCTTATTCAATAGGTGCTTAGGAATGACGAAGTTGTAGTCGTAGTCATCGGCGCATACATACGAACGCTGACAGCGCGCAGAACGCGCTCCCAGGAATTTGTCGTCCATGATGACTGGATAGTTTGCCATCAGCTCGCTAACGCGGTATCTGTCACTAGTATTTGGAGTTTACTCCAGTAGTCGAGATAGACATGGCACGCGCTCGTCGGGAAGTACAATGGCTGCCAGTTTCTGTGGCATCGAGGATGTCGCCAAGCGAACTTGCTTCTTTTTTCTCTCGTTGTGTCGAGGCTTAGATTGGGGAAACCTAAGCACATCTATCTGGCCTGGCTCCCGTGCCTTTTGCTTTGAGAGCTTGGCGGCTCTTGTATGGACCATTGGCTTTGTTCGGAGCTCCACAGACTTAGATGGCTCACATTTGGCGGGAGGCGACTCCATTGTTTGCTGTCAAGCCTGTGTCAGTGTCTGCGCCGTCGTTGTAAGACCCGAATTGGATGTTTCATTGTGATTCAGCATATATTCTGCTGTTACTCTAGACGGTGGTGTGTGTACAGCCGCAGGTGCAAAAGAAAACTCTCCGATATTTTCTTCTTCAAGCTGTCGAATCAACTTCATTGACTCCATTAGATCAACGGGGGTAATTTCAGATGCACTTTCACTTGCTGAATCGTCGCTGCTGTCGCCCGACTCTGATTCGGAATCCGCCATTTTCTGAGATGACGTGGTGTCCCTTTCTCGCATACCCCTGCGTACTATTTCTCGCCATGACTGTAGAGCCATGTAGAATTTTGGGCTAGTTGAGATAGAAAATCCAGCACAGGTTCAAATGCAGCTTTGGCGTAGCAGTATGTTTCTTCAGAAGACAGAACGACAACATTCGCACGCTCACGACGCCGCATTTTTACGTAAATCACGCGTTTGGACAGGTGAGATGTGTCGAGGTTTTTTCTCCAGCGGGACTGGTTCTCCTGCTCCCAAACTTAAGCCTCTTGATTCACTTGTGCTGCTTCAAAAGACTCCTTTTTTGCTTCGGCACCGTGTGTTGTTTTGTGTGTTGCTGAGCATTGAGTATAGTCGCTGTGCGAGGATGACTCGGGTGTATCTTTCAGTTTGTCTTGAATTGACTGCACCGACGCTTTCCCACGACAGAAGGCTTCCTCAAGCTTCGCCATTTCTGACATGCTCCAACGTGGCCGAATACTCGAAGCCGGCATTTTTTGCAAACTGGTGTTTTTGCGCGGCGATATGCATCAGATGGTGGCAAGGTAGATGGTACGTGCAATAAAATAGGCAGGAACAGCACCACTCGAAGTCGTTACACCGGAAAATGCTTCCTTGCGTGCTTATTTCCCATTGACCCACGTCACTTAGTCGTTTGGCTAATGTGTTCTGAGCTAAAATTACCATGAAATAATCCCACTGGTCCCGCACTTTCGATAGCGTGTCGTCGTTCATGTGTTTGGCCAAAAGAGAAAGATACGTGGGGACCCGAACTGGTTGGCGATTAGTAGTCGAGTGCTTGCGCATGGCCGCGATCCGCTGTCGAATAACCGTTGACTGGTGTGCCAATACACCACTAATCGTGAAGTCAATTTGCGGTTTCTTCCTTAGGAGGAGCTTTAGCTGATTTCAATTAGACTCGATGCGGTTGGTCGTCGTATTCCCAGCAGTAAAAACTTTTTCGCGAGCGTGGTTTGCCCACATGGAACTACATGTTCTCCAGTGTTTTCAAAATACTCCAACAGCTTGGGGCACTCTTCTTCACACCTCCGAGTAAACGTCTACTTCAGAGTCAAACTTAGACTGTGAGCTGCTGGAGACATAGTAAATAAAATAAGCAACACAGAAATAAACACAACATTAACAATTCTTACCAATAAATTAATTTCGCAAAGGCAGACTCCATCGCATCTCTTTGAGCCATCTTCAGAACATATTTGGGACGTCGGCAGGCCTTCCATCAATACGTCAACGCGTGAAATTGACACAGAAGTATCTTAGCGTTCGGGAAAGCTTTCTCCAGAACCCGCCATTCGACAAAGTCCTTATCGATGACGACACTTTGAACACTGCGCCAAGCTGGGTTTTTCCTCTTGAAAAATTCGATGACGTACTTCATCGTAGCTGCCTTCTGATCAAGAGCAAGGAAATTAATAGCTGGAATTTCTCTTCCCGTTGCTGATGTTGCAACAAGACTACTTATAATAACTCGGATTTTCTCTGATAAGTCAAGCGATTCTTGCAGAGAATCGCAGTGCGCTTTAAGCTTCTCGTAAGCCTCCTTACTCTTCTCCACGTCTCGATATTTCTTCTCGGCAACGTACAAAGCTCTTTTGGTCCTCTCCAGCTCGAATTTGAGTTGATCTCTCTCGGTCGTGACGTTGTGCAACTCTCTTAATGACATATTTAGTTTTTTGTTTAATGTTAATTTCATCAGAACTACAAACAACTGAATTGGGCATACCTAAATGGTACCCCAGATTGCTGGTTCCATGTGTCCAATCCATGACCAAGCTGTCTCCTCATTTCGCGAAGCATGTCTTCTGAATTGACGATTCCATCGCAATAATACAAGTAATATCAAGCTGATACTGGACGAGAAGTACATCATTACCACTATCCTCGTCGGGAAAATTGCCCAGGATAACCTTGGGTCTTTCGGTACTCGACTCGCCGAGCACTTGTCGCACAAGATTTCTTGTCAGCTGAGGCGTAAGCACCATATCTGTATCCGAAATCATATCAAAATTATCATTAAATTGACAAAGTACGCCAGAAAAATATACAACTGCAAGTGGCCTAATAGTAGCACCCACCGAACTTGTCCGACAAGTATCGATTAGTGTCAGCCGTGTGCGTCTTCATCTCGGTCAAAAGACCAAGTTCTTGGCGGACTTGCGGGGTGAGTGGCATTGACTTGTCCCCACGATACGAGTCGTAGTTTGTTTTATTGGTCTTGTGGCTGTGTAGCGATATCTGTGAATCAATCAGAGATTAATATCTCTTTCAGACAGAGAAATTGAACAGAGACTCACCTCCGTTCCTGGTGCAACGATCACTTGCCATGTGGCTT